TAGTAAAGGGCAAAGACAGGTCTTAAATGACAATCTGACTTTAAAAGTCTGTCCTCATAAAGACATTGTTCCAATGAAGCAAATAGGAAGTTATTAGTTCAAAGGACTGATGACATCCTATTACTATGCAGGCCACATTCCAGGGATGCTACTGCACAGCTGAGAAAAACAAACCACATGCGACAGGAGTCTGGAAGGTGAACTCCAGCTGCTGTAGCCAGGGGAGCACACTGTCCTGTAGAGGAACCTGTACAATAGAACTGGGACTTCTATTTCTGGTACACTAAATCCTGGCACTGCCACAAAACTCTGGCAGAACACACCAGACATTAAATGTCCAAAGAGTGCCCCCCCAATAGCAGTGATTATGAAATAAAAATAAATGTGCCAAAATGAAGTAAGACAAGGAGAAGAAATAGCAGTAAATATACAACACTACGAGTATGTAATGCAGGCAGCAAAATGGACTCTTCTTTTGTTACAGAAAAGCAATTCTAGTCTGACTGTATGGAATCTTTTTCCCCCCTTCTAATTACAAAAGATGTTCTTTCGGAAGGGTTGGAAATTACTAGGGTAAAGGTAGTTGCTTTGGATGTTGACTTGTTGCCTGAACTTTGAAGTGCAATGATTGATGCCTTGAGTGGTATTGGGCAAGAAGAGGACACACTGAAGAGGAAGCTGTCCTCTTGTACTCACCGTGTGGCAGATATTCAAGGACCTACCCTGTACTGCACACTGTACCTGTCCAGTAACTCAGAGAGTGACACAGATACAGAGATACACATACATAGAAACTGCTGTAATTACCAAGTAATCCATACCTTAGCTACCAGTTTTTTTTTTTAATTTTTTTTTTTGGTTTGGCTATCAGTTTTAACATGTCCAACTAAAACTCTCGACTGAATCCCCAGTGCACATACACATGCACACAAATGCACACACCCACTTCACTTTTGACTCATATATTAGCAATGAATGTATCTTTTGCAGACTCAGCTCATTCCAACACTTAAATTTTTTTTCTTTAACTGGGAGAGCGAGGGAAAGGGTTACATTGTCCAAAAAGAAATGTGCTCTTTATTTGACCTATGTAGCTATAACTTCTCTGTACATCACCTTTATGTTAACAATAACATTTTTCTTTAAGCTACCACGCCCTATTAATAAACTATATGTTAACATTGTATTTTTATTAATATACTATATCAATATTAATATACATATTAATATATAATACACGTTGCCATTTATATTATATGGCTTATTAATATATACTATACTTTTAATATATTAATGTACTATTACTAATATACTATATTTATATTATACTTTAACATATTAAGAATCACAAAGTCTTAAGCAAGCAAGAAGTTAATAAAATCACAACTCAAAATCCTGCAATTTTCACTATGACATATAAAAAGGCTTCTGATGTTTAAGTGATCTGTAACTATAAATTACACTCATATAATCAGACATATGACCACAGGCTATGGAAGACCATGGATTGAAACTCCTCTCCAGAACTGCCTTTGTACAATTAAAAAAAAAATTAAGTGACAATCTTGATTTCTTTGTTTGTTTTGCTTTGTTTGATTTCTTTGTGCTGTTCCTGCGTCTTGAACTCAGGGCTTAGGCACTGTCCCTGAGCTTTTTTGCTTAAGGCTAATGCTCTACCACTTGAGCCACAGTTCTACTTCCAATGTTTTGGTAGTTAAATGGAAATATTAGTCTCACAGATTTTTCTGCCCAAGCTGACTTCAAACCACAATCCTCAGATCTCAGCCTCCAAAGTACTTAAAATTATAGGCATCCAGCTCCAAAAAAAACAACAAAAAAAAGACCATCATCCCCAAGTGGACTGAGACAGCCTCTAGAAGAGGCTTGTTTTAAACATTTTTTTTTAATCTCCCAAAGTAGTGCCTAACGTACTAAGAGATACTACTGGATCCCTAAGCTGATAAAGAAGAGCAAGCCACGTCAAGACTTTCACCAGGTGCCAGTGGCTTATACCTGTAATCCTAGCTACTCAGGAGGCTGAGATCTGAGGATCCAGTTTAAAGCCAGTTTGAACAGACAAATCCAGGAGACTCATCTCTAATCCACTCAGTGTCTCGATCCTCAACCACAAACTGTGAACTACTGCAGAGCTCAACTTTTTTGGGGTGGTACTGGATTTGCCACTGGAGCCATGGACCCAGCCCTTTGTTATACAATTTAAACCCAGCAGGGAAATTCTAGGTTCTCCCTGGAAACCAGCCACTCACTAGGGCTATCCTCCCCTTGGAAAAGTAACAGGTGTTTACCAACCTCATTCCTATGTGTGTATACATACACACACCACTGCTTCAGCCACATCCAATTTCTAAGATCCTTGAAGTCAGGAACCAAGTCATAGAAGTCTATCATACCTGACAGTGTCTAATACTGGGGTCCAGATATATGTGGATGAAAACCAAATCAACAAATACCTGACTCCGTATCAGTGCTCTTAACATCTCCATGACAATCACCTGGGATGTTGGGGACACCTAGACAGGATGTCTGGGATCAAGGTAGAGGAATACATTGTTGTCCCTTGGCACAGGTCAAGAGACCTGTAGGGTACTGATTTGAAAGTATCTAGAACAGAAAAGTTTGCTAGATTCCATTTCCAAAATAACCAGTAAAGACAGACTCAAGTTATGGTGTACCAGGCTAACAGAGGACCCTGAGCTGGGTGCTTGTCATTCTAGCTACTCAGGAGGCTGAGATCTGAGGATCACAGTTCGAAGCCAGCCCAGGCAGGAAACTTCTTGAGACTCTTTGTCTCCAATTAACCACCAGAAAACCAGAAGCAGAGCTGTGGCTCAAAGTGGTAGAGCACTACCATTGAGCAGAAAAGCTCAGGGACAGCATCCAGGCCCTGAATTCAAATTCCAGTCCTGCCAAAAAAAAAAATCCCAAAAGACAATTATTAGTCACATGACTTCAGGAAATTCACTTAACCTTTGACTACCTCAGCAGCCATCTGTAAAATGAATATATATGATATATATATATATATATCATATATATTCATTTTACTATATATATATAGTCCATCATGGGTCTTGAACTCAGGGCCTGGTATGTGTCCTTGGGCCTTTTTGCCCAAGGCTAGTGCTCTACCTCTTTGAGCCACAGTACCACTTCTGGTTTTCTGAGGGTTAATTGGAGAGAAGAGTCTCATAGACTTTCCTGCCCGAGCTGGTTTTGAACTGCCATCCTCAGATCTCAGCCTCCTGAGCAGCTATGGTTAAAGGCATAAGCCACCAGCACCAGGCAAAATGGACATATTAACAGCACTTAAAAGGTTGCTGAAAGGATTGAAATGATTATCATGTGAATAACATTTGGCAAGTAGTGAGTGCCATGAAAATCCCAGCCATTTCTATTACTATGATTATTATGATTATTCTCTACTCCTTTCCTGGTCACACACTACACCTTGGCATTTTACCATAGGCTCATGCTGTTCCACCTGCAACACAACCCTAAACCTGAAAGTACTCACTTGTAAGACCCAAATCAAGTCACTGGGTCCTTTCATACCCGTTAATCAATCTGTCCTGCCTCTGTGTATTAGTGTAAGGCTTATTTTTTTCCCCCAATGCCTAGACTGTAATTTCCTTGGAGAGTCTGATAGAGTGGAAACAACATAATCCCCGGAGTGAGACTTGCTAGTTTACCATTTACTCTCCCTGAGTCTTGGATTTTCCTACGGAGTAGTCCAGAAATGAGAAGGCTTTAGTTATTCAAACTACATCCACTGATGCTCAGAAAAGAAGCAGGCTGTATGGCTGACTTGAATGATCATTCCTAATTATTAATAGTGCCATTTTACTGAGTCCCCCCCCCCACAATATAGTTTGTTGGTGTCAGTGTCAACACTCCAGGAAAAAGTGCCCAGAAAAGGGTGAGGGGGGTGGGTTGTTTTTCCATCAGGTCTGTGAAAATACCCAGACAACTGGGGGTCAGCAGCTTACAACCTGACTGGCTGTTTACCAAACAGCTGGGACAAGAGCGAACGTGATCTCATTGGCGCGCGCGGGCCGCCCTGGCTGGCTCTGGGGTGTGCCTCAGGATAAGCAGCGCTCCTTCCCATTGGCTTCTCCCGGCGTGACGTCAGGGCCACGCCAAAGCGTCGACCAATGGGCTTCGGCGGGGAGGGCCCAGCGGCGACAGTTGAGGGCATGGTCCTCAAGGGTTCTGGCTTTTTCTTTTCTACCAAAGTTAGGGGCCCACCCTTTCGGCCCCGACCAAAGATCCTCAGTGAGATACAACCGGGCTCATTCGCTTCCCCCCTCCTTCCCCGCCGCTTTCTTCCTATAAAGCAAACGCACTTTGGCCGCGAGTTCACATTCCCGAGTCGAGGGAACGCGGATCCGTAGGGCAGGGGGTTCAAGCCCAGCCCCACGGTGACTTTGGAGTTTCATGTTCCCCCTTTTCTGAGCTTCCGTGACCTTCTTTTAAGAGAGCAAGTGTATGTGTGTGTAGATGGGGGTGGGGGAAGAAGGATCTCTCCTCCTCGGGGCAGGAACGGGTTGAACCCAACAGACCGTAAGCTGGGCCAGATCCTCACCCAGGGTCCGGTTAGTTCTAACCGGTGGGTCACCGGCCCGTCCCCGTCCCGGAGGAAGGGCGTGCGCCAGATCGCCCCCCTCCCAGGTGTGTGGAGGCGATGCCCCTCCTTCCGATCTTGGGGTGGGGGGGCTCCCAGAGTGGAGTGGCTCTGACCCTGACGCCCAGGGGCGCAGTGCCGACGTTGGGGATCTCGGGAAGGGATGGGAGAAGCGGGCCAAACGAAGGCCGGCGGCCAGGACACGGGCTAGGGCCCCCAAAGACCCAGGCCTGGGTGAAGAAAGGCCCGCGGGCCTCTTCGGACCCCGCGGGGCGACTCAGGAGAACGGCTTCCTCGCCACACCCACAATAAAGCCCACGGATCGTCCCTAGACATCCCCCGCCGTGCCTCAGCTTACCCTTTCTCTGGTCCCGGGGCCAGCCCGGCCATCGCGCCCGGGCCCCCGAACCCCGCGGAAGCTGAGGCGCAGGTGAATTCTTCACTTCCGGAAGTAACCTGAGACCCTCAGGAGAAGATGGGGGAGGCGGAGGAGAATGCCCCAGGCCCGTGACCATAGAGAGGCCGCACTCAGTGCTCAGCCACCTCAACCCCGCGACCTCCCGGGCGCCTAGAGCGGCCACGCCCAGACGGAGGCCGAGAGCGCACGCGCACTAGCAGGCCCCGCCCCTTCCTCTTCAACCACAGACTAATAGCTCCAGCTGGGGAATTGCACCTCCAGGGGCAGGCGGGCGCTTTCCTGTAACTGCTCCTCCGGGCTGGTGGTTTCTGTATTCAGAGGAAATAGCCTAGTTCAGTAGTGCCCAGCAGTTAAAATAATATCACGAAACTGCCCTGTACTCTCCACAATTTTGTCTTCACATTTTGTGCAGGAAAAAAAATCACACAGCTATGGCTAAAGTTCCAACTGTATTGTTAATCAAAGACCAGGAATTAAAATGACCTTACACGTTTACCCTTAAGGCGTCTCATCCCTGTTTTTAAATCGCCCAGAGAATGTTTTTAAATCTCCCAGAGATCGTTAAGTTGCTAAGTTGAAATGAAATTTTTTTTCCTACATAGAAAAATTGGTAGGTTCTTTGCTAGTCAGAGAGTGTGTGCATTCATTTTCTGGCAATAAACATTTTTTTCTTTATTATAGAAGGTTCATAGCAAAATTTACAAGCTGGGAGCCAGTGGTTCACGCCTGTAATCCTAACGTACTCAGGAGGCTGAGATCTGAGGATGGATGTTCAAAGCCAGCCCAGGTAGAAAAGTCTATGAGAAGCTTATGTACAATTAACCAGCAAAAAGCTGAACTAGAAATATGGTTCAACCGGTAGAGGCTAGCCTTGAGCAGGAAAAATAAGTGAGAGCATGAGGCCCCGAATTTAAACCCTAGTATTTGCACGCGTGTACACACACACACACACACACACACACACATCACCACCACCACCAAAGTGAGAGAGAGAGAGAGACAGAGAGAGAAGCATGCCTTCGAACCAGCTTCATATGGAAGGCTTTTGTGAAAGACCAAGGTGAACTTATTCATTCAACCCGTGTTTATAGACTTTTCTTCTGTATGTCAGCCCCATGGTAGACTTTGCTGGTCAACCTCAAGCCAACATACATCTTTCTTAGGGACAGATGTTCTATGCGTTCCAGGTCACGAAGATAAAGGTCTCAGCCTTGGCTTTTCCAGTCATCTAAGTACCCACCCTATTATTCTCCATTGCAACAGCCTCTTGCTCTCTCCCCTCCCCCCCACTGAGATTACAGACTTTCTCCTTCCAATCCCAAGGTTTTGTTTTTGTTTTTGCTTTTGGTTTTGGTCATGGGGCTTGAACTCAGGGCCTGGCACTGCTCTTGAGCTCTTTTGTTCAAGGCTAGCACACTACCACTTTGAACCACAGCTCCACCTTCGGCTTTCTGGTGGTTAATTGAAGATGAAAATCTCATAGACTTTCCTCCCTGGGGGGGGCTTTGACCTGTGATCCTCAGATCTCAGCCTCCTGAGTAGCTAGGGGGACAGGCAGGAGCCACCAGAGCCCAGCCATATCCCAAGTTTTAATCTCCATTATGGGCTGGGCCATGCTTCCTCGCTGCACCGTTACCCCTATCGGAGTGACACAGACTAGGAACTCCGCAAATAATTGTCAGTGGGACTAGCTGTCAGGACTCGAACTCCAGTGTCCTTTTCCAAATCAAACGCCACTATACATTAGGACACACCCTGGAACGTCGATAGCGACGCCCCCCCATCGATCCCTGAACGGTGATTGGGCTGTACCATTGGCCCCGCCCCCGGCGCCAGGCGACGCGGGCGCTGACGCAGACGCAGCCGGCGCGCGCTGTTTCCGGAAGTCGGCTCCGAGGGCTGTTCTGTGGCTGCTGTCGCTGCCTCGGTGTGCTGTGGTGGACGCGGCGGAACTCTGCGAGTTGAACGGCTGAGACAGGCCGGGGGCAGGGCCCGGGTTCCCGCCACTCTGCAGCATGGAGATAATCCGAAGCAGTGCGTGCACGACCCGCGCCCCCAAGCTCCCCCCTCACGCAGCCTGCTAGGCCCAGACCACCGGCAGCCTGTTTGGCGGGGGGCGGGCTTCTTCAGCCCCGCGGGGAGTTGCCTTCCGGGCACCTCTTGGGGGGTGGGGACCTTGTTCCTGTGAGAAACGTGCCCCCCCCCATTCCTCCGGCCCCAGGTTCCCTCAGGGGCCTGGTCTTCCGTCCAGCCACGCGTCTGGGAGTTGACCCCACGTGGTCCATGCAGCTCCGGGGACTTGACCTCCTGCGGCCAGTGCACACCTTTGGGACCTGTCCCCCACCTGACTCCGCGGGTCTCAGGTGTCCCCCTCATCCCTTCTCCCCTCAGTGTGTAGGCAGAAAGCCAGGCCACAAGTTCTGAGCCTCTTCTCGCTTTCTCCGCAGATTTTAAGAGTAATCTTCACAAAGTGTACCAGGCCATAGAGGAGGCGGACTTCTTCGCTATCGATGGGGAGTTCTCAGGTATCCCCTTGCAAGCATCCGGGCTAGCTAGCACCGTGCAGTGCAGAGCCGCCCTCTACCCCACCTCGCGCCCTCCCCGATTCCCACCTCAGTCACCTTCTTATGTAGGTTGGGGTCTTAGGCCAGCAGAATTCTCTACATTTCCTCTTAAACACTTTCATGAAAGAGATGTGGTGGTTGTTTTATTATTGGCCAGGCTGTGAGGGTTGTGGATGGAGTTTGTGGTTTTGATGTTGCTTAAAATTTGACCCATACACGATAGAAAGCATGAGGACCAGGGTGAGATTTTTTTTTTTTTGGTGGTAAAACTGTATGTGCCATAAGTTTTCTATTTTAATCTTTTTCTTTTCATTTTTTTTTTTTTTGGAGGGAGAGTCTGGGCTTTTTCACTCAAGGTTGGTGCTCTACCACCTTGGTTAATTGGACGTAAGAGTCTCACAGACTTTCCCACCTCGACTGGCTTTGAACTGTGATCCTTAGAGCTCATTCTACTGAGGTATGAGCTACTACTGTCTGATTTACCTGTTTTTGTCTTTAGAGTGGTTTTGCAGTTAGATATGTCTACTTTCCCATGCAGCTGCCACCCATCCATTTCCTCCTCCTCAACTGACACACTACATAATGAATTCTCCATTCCTCCCTTTCTCCAAATCCTTGTCAACAACTATTTATCTGTATGAATTTGGCTCTTATAGACACATTATATAAATGGAACCCTACAATATTTGTCCTTTGTAACTAACCATGGTCAAGCTTTTGCAGTAAATAAGATATTCCTTTATGCATTAGTGGAAGTGTTTGCCTACCTGATTGTGTGTGTGTGTGTGTATGTGTGTGTGTGTGTGTAACTGTAATATTCTGCCAACATTTGTGATGCTCTTTTATTTTTTTGAGAGAACAAATGCACAATTTTAAATTGTTAGTGACAAGATGAGCAGTTTTCTTCCTTTTGCTATAATAAATATCCATATTTTCTCTATGACTATGTTTTAAAAACTATAAGTTTTGGTGCCAGTCCTGGGGCTTGAACTCAGGGCCTGGGCGCTGTCCCTCAGTTCTTCAGCTCAAGGCTAGCACTCTACCACTTGAGCCACAGAGCCACTTCTGGCTTTTTCTGTGTATGTGGTACTGAGGAATTGAACCCAGGGCTTCATGCATGCTAGGCAAGCACTGTACCACTAAGCCACATTCTTAGCCCAAGTATGCGTTTTCTAGTTGGAATTGATTACCTAAGAAGCCAAGGGTTTTCACCAGAAAGAATTCAATTACTCCTCTTCCCTTTCCTTCCTTGTCCTCCGCTCTGTCCCTGTGTCTGTCTCTGTCTCTCTCTGCCTTTCTCTCCCTCTCTCTCGTCAGGCTGGCATTTTGCTTGAGCCATACTCCCTATCCCTTTTTGCTTTAGGTCCTTTTTTTTTGTTTTGTTTTTTGCATAAAGTCTGGCCTTCATGTGGACCATATTAGACTTTGATATTCCTATTTACTATAGCTGGGTGACAGGTCCATACCTGTGTGCTTAGCCTTAATTGATTGAATGAAGTCTTAGAAACTCCCTCCCCCAGTAACCTTGAAGATCAAATTTCATTCTTCGCCTTCTCTGCCTCTTGAATAGCTAGGATTATAGATGAGGACAACTTTCCCAGTCTGGAAATAACTTTTCTTCACTGTGAAAATGCCTACATGGATGCTACTCCAAACTTTGGCAAAGACTGTCAATCTAAAGATTCTTGGGTGTCTGGTTGTATATTAATACTTTAGAAAGCAGGAAAATAGGCTGGGTATAGCAGTGCTCACCTGTAATCCCAGCACTTGGAAGGATGATGCAAGAGGATGGAGAGTTCTAGGCTAGCCTTGTCTACATAGAGAACCAAACAACCAAACAAACAAACAAAACCCAAAAATAACCACCAAAAAAACTTATTTAAACTATAGGTTATTGTTGTTATTGTTTTATTTTATTTTTTTTTTGTTGGTTGTGGGGCTTGAACTCAGGGCCTGGTACTGTCCCTGAGCTCTTTTGCTCTCTACCATTTTGTGCCACAGCTCCACTTCTGTTTTTTTGAGTGGTTAATTGAAGATAAAGAGTCTCATGGAGACTTTGCTGCCTGGGCTGGCTTTGAACTATGCTACTCAGATTGCAGACTCTTGAGTAGCTAGGATTACAAGTATAGGCCGCCAGCACCTTGTTAGAGGTTTTTTGTTTGTTTTTTATTTTGTTTTTGGGTCTGGTTGTGGGGCCTGAACTCTGGGCCTGGGCACTGTCCCTCAGCTCTTCAGCTTAAGGCTAGCACTCTACCACTTGAGCCACAACACCACTTCCGGCTTTTTTCTTTTTGCTTATGTGGTGCTGAGGAATCGAACCCAGGGCCTCAGGCATGCAAGGCAAGCACTCTACCACTGAGCCACCATCCCAGCCCCTGTTTGTTTGTTTTTTAATACTAGGTTCTGAAATCATTTTAAGCCATGGAAATTGCACATTTTAGGTTGAAATTTTGTCTAAATTTATGTATTGTTCTAAGTTTATGTATTGGTGGCCAGTCAGTTTAACACCGTGTGTGTGTGTGTGTGTGTGTGTGTGTGTGTGTGTGTGTGTGTGTGTAGCTATGAAT